TCCCCCACCCAAAAAATCTGCCACTAAAAACCCTATGGAGCATAATTTTACTCTGGCACACATGAATGAGTCCAAATTGATTCAACAACAACTTATTTTTAAATCCTACCTGAGCACATATGTATGTATTTACTTAGATAAATAGCCTTGTTTCCTGTCATGTTCCTCCTCTAGAATTGTGACCGGGGAGGATACATTCCCTGCTCCCTGGCCTCTAGAGTGTTGTCTGATACACACACAGAGCCGTTGCTAAGTGCCATCAAGTCGGTTCCCGAATTATAGCAACCCTGTGGAGGGGTTTTGTATGAGAAGCTGGTTGGTGGGTTTGAACTAACGATTTTGCAGTTAGCAGTCCAGTCCTTATCCTATAACATCATGCCAGGATCTCTTGACACACAGTTATTGTTGTTAACTGCGAGCGAGTCGGTTCCGACTCATAGTCATTTTGTATAGTTTCCAACGAGCAGCTGGTGGGTTTGAACTGTCAACCTTATGGTTCGCAGTCCAGTGCTGATCCTACAGTGCTACACCAGGAGTCAGGTATTCAATGACACTTGTTGAATGACTGAATGGTGACTTTGAATTCCTTGGACTTAAAAAAATGAGCTTTGATGACATAGCGGTTGAGGGGCTCGATTGCTAACCAACCACCAGCCACTCCATGGGCAAGAGACGTGGCAGTGTGTTGCTGTGAAGATTGATGTTGTTGTTGTTGTTAAGTGTCGTCGAGTCGACTCCGACCCATAGCGACCCTGTATAGGGTTTCTGAGGAGCAGCTGGTGAGCTTGAACCACGGACCTTGCAGTTCATATGACTGCGGTCTGGTGCATTAGCCCACAGTGCCATACCACGAGTCCTCTGTGAAGATTACAACCTTAGAAACCCTCGGGGGCAGTTCTGCTCTGGCCTGTAGGGTCTCTCTGATTCGGAATCGACTCAATAGCAGCAGGTTTGGTTTTGTTTTTAACTTTAAGGACAGAAGCAGCATTCTATTATAGAAATTGCCTACTGGGTTTTTTTTATGAAGGGTGTAATTTCTCTACTTAGAGGAGGTAGAATGGGGATGACCTAATTATCCACTTAGGTGACTATCTGGCAGATGATGTCATATGGATTTTCCCTGACAAATTAACTCCAGAATTAGTTCTCCTAAGCAGCTCTGGTAGTGTGGTGGATTATGAGCTGAGCTGCTAACTGAAAGGTCAGCAGTTCGAATCTCCCAGCCACTCTATGGGAGAAAGATGAGGCTTTCTGTACCCATAAATTACAGCCTCGGAAACCCTATATAGAAGGGCGCTACGTGTTGGAACTGACTCCATGGCACACAACCACCACCACCACCACCACCAAGCTAACTACAGATACAGCACAGGGAGCCTCACCTTGTAGCCTCTTGAGACCTTTGTTGATGTTGTTGAGTGCTGTTGACTCGGTTCCAACTCATAGTGACCCTGGATAGGGCTTCAAAGGAACGGCTGGTGGGGTTTGAACCACTGGTGGTTCAAATGGACCTTGCATTCCAGGTGTTGACAAGTCAGTTTTGACTCATAGCCACCACATGTAGAACAGAATCAAACACTGCCCAGTCCTGCTCCATCCTCCCAACTGCGCTGGGCCCCTTGTTGCAGGCATTGTGTCACTCCATCTAGTTGAGCAGACCCTTCACTTTACCCAGCATGATGTCATTTTCCAGGGACAGGTCCTTCCTGAAAATATGTCCAAAATACATGAGATGAAGTCTTGCCACCATTACTTCCAAGGAGCAATCTGGCCTTACTTCTTCTAAAACACATGGATTCATTCTTCTTACATATCCAATAGTCTTTGCCAACACCATAATTCAAATGCACCACTTTTTCTCTTACCTTCTTTATCGGTTGTTCAGTTATTTGCATGCATAGGAGGTGAATAAAAATTGTATGACTTGAGTCAGGCATACCTTAGTCTGCAAAATAACATCTGTGTTTTTTAGCACATCAAAAGTTCTCTTGCAGCAGATAATGCCCAATGCAATATGTCGTATGGTTTCTTGACTGCTGCTTCCATGGGCATTGATTATGGATCTATGTGATTTCTGAGGAGCACCTGGGAGGTTTGAACTGCCGACCTTGTGGTTCAAAGTCTAGTGATGATCTTACAGTGCCACACCTTTAGTCTGTCCTTTAATCCGAGGTCCCCGGCACCTGGTGTGGGGGAGCTAAAATAACCTTGCTGAAATACTCAAGAGAGGAAGCCGCAAACCTCTCCTGACACTGCCCTTAACAGTCTCATGGTATCTAACTGAAGGAGCTGCAAAGCTGCAGCAGAAGAGCAGTGTAAGAGGATGACGGGAAAGGTTTGGATTCAGAACACCTGAGTAACAGGTGATTTAAATAAACCATTTGTCCTCTCTGGGTCTTAGTGCGTCCTTCACGGTACCATTAAGTGGGATGGAGTGAATGTATATTTTAAAGTTATCTCCAGCAGTGACTTTCTCTAGTTACAAGAATTTTGCTTACAAGGTCAATTGGACTAAACTGCTTAGGAGTGACAGGGGAGAGAAACAACATGGAGGAAATTGAAAAAAGGTTGAGTGGTAGGAGCTCAACATGACCAGCAGGTGGAGCCATTGCTGCACCAGGATGCTCTGACCAAAGGTGGAAAGCAGATTTTCTTGGGAGCAAGTGGGCCTTTTGAGGCCAGTTGTCCCCATCTTGGGAGACACTCCCCACTTCCTCCCAAAGGCCCCATACCCCACATCCTGATAAACTCAGGTTAAAATACTATATGTTTCTAGGCCTGAGGCTGGAGGCTTTTCAAAGACCATTGTCTTTTCTTCTTCTTCCTGTGTTTCTTACTCCATTCCTGGTCTTTGCCACCCCTAATTCCACCACACCCTGATGTGGCCACTTTCATAGCAAGACATATTGACTAGATAGAAGTCAGCATGACTTTACTTTCCCAGTTATCATCCACCATTTCTCCAACCCCTTCCTCCCCCCTCCCCAACGCTGCTCTAGACTTTGGCCCTGTACCTCCCTTGAGTGCTGGGGAGCAAGCTCTGGTTAGAGAAGCTGGAGAAAAGAAAGAAGGAAATGCGGGTGGGGGAGTGCGAAAGGGGAAGGCCTGGCTTTGGTCAGATAAGAATAGAGAATCAACGTTTGTTTGGCCCCAACTGCCTTTGCCACTGTTTACACACTTGAGAGAGTTTCCTGAAGTTACATAGTGGTGTCCAGTAGCACTCCCTCCCTGACTTCCTATGGCCAGGTGTGTGTGTATGTGTGTGTGTGTATGTGTGTGTGTGTAGGTGGCAGGGAGACATTTACAGATGTTGTTTTGCAGTCTGGCTGCCGGTAGAAACCAGCCACTCCACATAGTCCTTTCTTCACGGTTTCTGCTCTGAGCTTGTGGGTGGAGTAGGGGTCTGATAATAGACTAGTCACAGGGCATGCTCTCCCGCTTGTTTTGGCCTTTCTTTGCAGAGTTACGTAAAGGGTACAGCTAAGAAGCCCTCAGCACACTACCCTCCATCCTGAAACTCCTGCCTTTCATACTCCCACTAGCTCCCCACCCACCCCACAGTGAGGAGGGTGGTCAGTTGGCAGATATAGCCAAAGGGCAGCATCTGGGTGTTACCTGAGAGACAGCAATGCCTTTTCCCTGTTTAACTCCACCTCACTGCCCGTTGTCTGATGGGAAGGCCACTCTGGCTTTTAGACACATTTAGCTGGAATGAGCCATGCAACAGATCTCTCCTAGTATCACTTTAATTACAGTATTTACACATACTTTTTATTCAGGCAAAAAAAAAAAAAAAAACACACCAAAAACTCCACCCAATCCTCCCATCTGGAAAGTTAATATTTCCAACCGTCACTGAACCCAGGAATCCCTGCTCACTCTTCTAGGGGATAAAAAGAAAGAAAGAAAACACAACAAAACACATACACACACAAATCAGGATTTGGATCCCCCAGTCCTTTGGAGATGTCCTGGGGTGCTGACCATAAGGGGTACACAGCAGTAAGAGGGACTGGGACGGGGGAGACACAGAAAGAAAAGAGTCTGCTGGGGGGCTGGGGCCACAGCTCAACCCAGGAGTCTGGGGACAAGGAGGAATTCAGGCAACTGCCAGGACCTCTAGTCTCAGAGAAAAAGTATTCCTTCAAATAGCATAGGTCAAGAGGTTCTGCTCAAAGACCTGGTCCCATGATCCTGCCCACTTTGATCAAGAGATGAAACAGGAGCTCAAAGAAGAGGCTTGAGTAGCTCTTGAGACAAGACCAGAACTGAAGCCATTCTGGTCCTTCCATGTACCCTCCCCCAACCTCACAGACATAGGGCTTTGGTCTAACACTTGGAGCTCAGTCCCAAGCTCCAGCAAGGTAAAGAGTGTCAGGCTCTGTAAACCTAGAGGAGGGGGCATGAAGGTCTGGATGAAATTTGGAAAGTAACAGGGAAGCTGAACCCACAGAGTCATGGAGGAGTGATAGGGAAGGGGTTGGAGACAACTCATTTTTCTAACAGTATCATTCCAAGGAAGCAGGTGGAGAGAGTTACTTTAGTTTCCCTAAAGTAGAGGAGGGGAAAATATAAGGAAGAAACAGTCCAAAGCAACACTTCCTGGATGGAAATTGTCTTCCGGAAGTCTAGGGTTTCTCCCTGGGGGCTTCTGCAAAGAGGCTGAGAAGACAAGGGTTGGGAAAGAGGTCCTGAAGGCAGCAAGGGCAGCAACCCTCCCTGGGGGTTTCTCTGGACCTTGGATATTCTCCCTTCACACCTCTCCCCATATAAGACTGGATGGAGTCTGGGTTCAGGGGCTGCATGTGTAAAGAGCAGGGAATTACCTGCCTCTCCTCAAGGTGGAGAGGAACCCCCAGCCTGGTGCAGTGCAGGGCCCCAGACAAGGACTCCAAGGGCGTGTGCAGTGAAAAAGGGGGTAGAATGTGAGGGTTGTCTCCAGATGCAGGGGGAAGAGGGACTTCCCCGGATATTGCCCAGCCTGGCCCCACCCAGCCAAGTCACAATTCTGTATCAGCCACCACGTGTTGTCTTGTTGAATGGCCGTTTCTGGATGTGGCCTGGCCGGTGCCGTTCTCCTGAGACCCTCGGTTCACACTGGCCTTTCCCTGGGCCTCGGAGGAGGCCCCAAGGCCTGAGCTATAGCCCTGGCCTCCACCGCTCTCCGTGTAATAAGGGTCTTCGCCCTAGACGGTGTACAAATAAAGGAGCATTATCTGGCAAGCAGGGGTGCGGATCTGTGAGGGGAGGGCCGAGGCGGGAGGTTGCATCTGTAGGTGCAGATTCCTGTCTTCCTCAAGTGTGGTCAGGGTTCCAGTTCCTAGAGGGGAAAGGACAGAGGAGAGGCACCACACCGCGCCACCACAGCCAGCCCCACGGGAAAACAGTTCCCATCTTGGAACAGCTTCCCTGGGTCAGATCCTGGCCTTGTCTTCCCTCCTCCAGGAAGCCTCAAGAACAGGTGTCCCTTCCCTGGGCCCCCTTCTTGTGAGCAAGGTAGTGTCTGTGGGTATCTAGTATACTTGCAAACAAGAGCACCGATTTAACAACCTGTTCTCTTGTCTCCAGCTAAACTACCCTAGGAAAAATCACGCTGTGAGCACTACCACAGTGACTAGGTCGGCTGGCCCAGTTGGCTGTCTGCTCATTTTGAATCTTCCATGGGTATGATGTGGGCACCCATGAATATCCCAATGTGAGGACACAGGGTGGCTTTTTTGGCATTTGGCATGACATACATGGACTCCCCCAAGAAGACTACTACCCATCTTTATCTCCTTTGCCCAGGACCCCAGAACTGACCAGTCTTTCTCCAGTGGGGCTCCAACTGCGGCGGTTCATGAGGAAATAGCCAGTGGTTCCCAAGATAGCCAGCAGGACCCCTGAGGTCACCAGGGCAATCAGGGTCTTGCGGGAATAGCGCTGGTGGTTTCCAACACTTTCTTCAGTGAAGCTGTGAATGCCCAGCTTGAGGAGAGGACACAGAAGACGACAGTCTGTCATGTATGGAAAGTGGGTCTTCAAAGAGGTGGCCTGTCCCCCCGAGGCCCCATTACGGGACACACAAGGATACTGACCGCAGGGATTTTCAAAGCTGAGAATTTAAGACTGGCATCTCTTGATTGAGACACACCTTAACATTTTTGGATCAAGCAGAGAAAGGTGAAAACTTTCAGAGGAGGATGGAGAAATAGAAAGGGTAGGTGTGGAAGATAATCACTTCCTTCCCCATCCATGGAGATCCCTGAGCCAGCTGTCCTTGTGAGATACACTGTTTCACACAACTTACCTTTCCCAGGTCAGATTGGTGTTTTTCCATAAATTGGAGCTTGCTGGAAAGTTCTAGAATTAGAAACAAGGGTTGCTGAATCTAGAAGCTGAAGGAGCTCATCCCATGCTATTCCAGAAGATGTGCTCAGGGTCAGAAAGGCCCATTTCAGGCAGGCCTTTCCCTGCATCTGTGCTCTCTGGAGCTGAGATGTCTGACCCCTACCCAGGATCCTCTGCCGCTCAGCCCTCCCGAGCCTTAGTCTGACTCCTTCCAAACTTTCTGGACAGACATGGCCCTTACCTGTCCCATTGGCCAAGACAAGCATCAGACATTGAGGCTTTATCTCTGACTGGGTCAAGAGCAAGGAACACACCCCAGCTCCAGTCTCAGCATGTTCCTTTTTACACAGTAATTGGATCAGACCGTCACCTTTGTCTTTCTTAAAGTCCTCCTGGGAAGACAGAGAAAAGTGGTGAGCAGAAGATGAAATGACATTCAGGACTTCAGGCAATAATTTTAATTAAACTCATACTACTTGGTGTGGTGCTATATAATAAGCACTGGACTGTAAGGTTGGTGGTTCAAACTCACCAGTTGCTCCTCAGAAACCCTAAATGGGGTTGCTATGAGTTGGAACTCGATGACACTTAACAACAACAACAACAAATACACCTTGGTGTGGCACTGTAGGATTAGCATTGGATTGTGAACCAAAGGTCAGCAGTTCAATCCCACCAGCTGCTCCTTGGGAACTCTATGCAGGGTCACTATGAGCCAGAATCAACTCGACTTAACAACTAAACTACACCCTGAGGAGCTCAGTGGCTCTGTAAGATAAGCACTGGACTGTGAACCATAAGGTCAGCAGTTCAAGACCACCAGTTATTCCACAGTAGAAGGATGAGGCTTTCTACTCCTGCAAAGACTAACAGCCTCAGAAACCCTATAAAGAATCACTGTGAGTCAGAACCGACTCGACAGCACTTAACAACAACAACAACTACCTCTCCACAAAAAGAACCCTTTGTTCTAAAATTCCAACAGCAAACAAGCACTACAAACTAGATCTACATTACATATAAAGTTAAGTGTTGTTAAGTGTTGTTGAGTTGTTGTTGTTAAGTGCCTTCGAGTCGGTTCCAACCCATAGCGACCCTGTACAGGGTTTCCGAGGGTGTAAATCCTTACGGGAGTAGAAAGCCGCATCTTTCTCCCACAGAGCAGCTGGTAGTTTCGAACCGCTGACCTTAAGGTTCGCAGCCCGATTCGTAACCACTACGCTACCAGAGTTAGTTCCTACTAAAAGCGACTCACCCTTTCTAGGACTTCCAAGGGACGACTGGTGGGTTTGAACCATTGACCTTCAGTTCAAATGGATTTTGTTGTCTAGCGCATTATCCTGCAACACCACACCAGTACACACACACTCTCTTTCTCTCTCTCTCTCTCTCTCTCTCTCTCTCTCTATGTATTTCTCAGTATCAAACCACACAAAACAAAACAAGTATCTCATGATAGTCAGGAAAGGTATTTTGAAGGGCACTCTCAGACACCAGAGAACTTAGGAAACATTATTTTATTTAGGGTTTACTTGTGCACACATATGGTATTCAGGCGAAATTAAAAAGAAACCGCCAATAACAAAACAGTAGTGGACACGAATAACTGAAAGACAAAATCCTTTGTTTCAATGCTACAGTAGCTCTGGTCGTTGAAAGCAAAGGTTTTCTAATTCTGACGTGGTCCTTTAGTTTTTTTCCTTTACCTCCCATACCAGTCGCAATTAAGTCCATTCTGATTCATAGTGACCCAGGTGTTTCAGAGTAGAACTGTGCCCCATATGATTGTCAGCGGCTGATCTTTTGGTCAGCAGATCATCAGGCCTTTCTTCTGAGGGAACTTTGGGTGGACTTGAAGCTCCAACCTTTCAGTTAACAGCTGAATATGACAACTGTTAGAAACACCCAGGGACTCTGAAGGGATCTCACAAAAAGCATTGCTCAAACTGATTTTAAACACAGTCTAGCTTTCCATTCTAGTTTACAAGAGGCTTATTGATTTTTTCCCAGGAACTCAGACCCAGAAGGTAAATTCTGATAATCCTTAAACTGAGTCTGAGGAAAGATACGCAGTGAAGTCCTGGGCTGTGTCCTTCCACCATCCTGTCTTCACATTTCCCAGACTTTCTTCAAGAATCCTCCAATCAGAATGGCTTCCTCTGCAAGGAAAGGATCTGAAACCAAGACTCTATCTTCTCTCCAGATGGCAGATGGCGGAGGAGGAAATGCCTGAGCAGCTCTGACAACTTCCCTGTGAGGGAAAGATTGCTGGGATGTGTAATGGTCATCAGACCTGAGCTTCTGAGGAGCGAGCTTCCTGTTTGTGAGGCAGAGGATCCTTCCAGTTCGGAATGAAGGCCAGGGGTTTTCCTACTGCTGGGACCTATGGCAGGACTGCCCAAACTCCTTTGATCCTGAATAAGATGAGCTTCAGGCCCCAGCTTTCTTCTATCAGCTGGAATTGGAGCGAGTGGAGGGAAAATATCAGAGCCTGGATTAGACTCAGAGAGCCTCAGAAAACCCCAAGAGGCCAGGTCCCAAAGAAATCTGTCACAGGGTTCAAGACAACTGACGCATCACCCTTCAGGAAAAGGTCTCTAATTTTGCAGGTCTCCCAGTAAATCCAAGTGTAGAAGTTTTGCTTCTGGGTAAATCTGCTATCTTTAAGATAGCACTGAACACCACACTAAGTATGACCAACAGTCTCCTTCCTCTCTAGACCCAATTTCCTTGAGAACGTCAATTACTTTAACTTCCTGAGCACCACACCCTCCCTACCACCATATCTTCTGGATGAGGAGGAGGGAAGACCATGCCTAGATGTCTCTGGGCTTCCAAAGTATCTCTGGTTGAAAATGTGCCTGCTTCCTCAGAGAGACAGTGACAGGGCTTCTGCAGAATGGAAGCTAGCAAAACAAAATGGCGCCCTCCTCAACCTGAGGAGGTGATGATCTAAGACGCCGTACCTTCAACAAAATTCAGTTGTGATAAACATTTGTTAAGCCCTGAGTGTAAGATGCTGTGTGATAGTCTCATTCTACTCAGCTTTCAGATGAAGAAAATATGCCGTGAAAGAAAGAGAGCAGTTCTACTTGGTAACACAGGAGATTGCCATGATTAGGAGTCAATTCAATGGCAGTGGGTTGGTTGGATTTTTTTGTTGTTGTTGTTTAATCATAAGAAAGGTACACCTAAAGTATCATAGATTCAGAAAGGTACAAAGCACACACCTGGTTTGCGGTTATCAGAACATGTATGTAAGTGAAGCTAGTGTGAAAGGCATTCTACACAGAGACACACAAGAAATTCAGTCGTGTCAGCTTGCAGCATTTCACAGCCCTGGTTGCCAGGAGAACGAAGCACACTGACCTCTTTCTTGTATTCTCTGTTCCCCAAGGCCCAACTCATTCCACCTTAAAGGGCTGGGCATCATCCCTTGCTCTGCCAGGTACTAGCTTCACTACCAGTCAGTCATGCAACTAACTAGTCTGAGTGTCAGCTTCCTCACCTGTAAGCTCAGTTGTTGTTACTAAAGAGGTACTGTATGAAAAGTGCCCAACATGATCTTTGGTAACTACCGGGTACTGGATAAATGTCAATTAATACTATTACTGTTAATAAAAGCAATATACTACACAAAATTCTATCATCTAGAATCCACATTTTGCTGTTGGATCCTATTCTGCTTTACTGTTATTACCATTTCGCTCTGATTAGATAGTAAGACTCCTTAGTTGGGGGTGCACATTACATAATTTAGAACCCACACTGCACTAATCACAGCACCAAACAAACAAAAGAACTCAGTCAATTGTTAAACTTAACGGCTCAGCTGCTTTGGCCTCCACACAAAGTTCCTTCACCCCTTGCTTAGCTTCTTGGATCAAATTCAAGGGAACAACAGCGGCCAGCCACCCACTCTGGGATCCAACAGCATCAGTGAATTGTGTTTGGACCCAGAGTGGAGCAGGTGGATCCTGAACAAAGAACAATGCTTCTCCGGATGCCAGGAATAAACATCCTCCCTCAGGAGAGCTGGTAGGTGGACATCACGGGAGAGTGGGCAGGAGGAAGACACAGTTCACCATGCTGTTCAGGAGAATTAGATTTGCAAAGTCCTAACCACATCTCCTCACGCACTTTACTTTGCAAAATAAATCACTGAAATAATAACCTGTATACTCCTGGTATGGCGCTGTAGGATCAGCACTTGACTTCGAACCACAAGGTTGGCAGTTCAAACCCACCAGCTGTTCGTTGGAAACCCTATACAGGGTCACTATGAGTCAGAATCGACTGCACTTAACAACAACAACAAAGCTCAGTTGTTGTGACTAAAGAGGTATGTATGAAAAGTGTTTCATACAATATGGTGTTTAGTAATTTCAAATATGAATATATTTATTTTGTTGTTGCTGTTGTTGAGAGTACAAATAAACACAGCACCGAATATACCATTCCAGCAGTTTCTACATGTACATATAATTCAGTGACACTGACTACATTCTTGGAGTTGGGAAACCATTCTTGTCCTCCTTTTCTGGTTTTTTCCTCCCCATTGAGACAAACTCACTGCCCCCATAGGTTCCTATCTAATCTTTCTAGTTCTTCTTGTCAGTTTGACTCCATAGAGTGTGTTCTCTTAGCATATTAGACAAACACATTAAGCATTGGGATCTGGGGAGGATGTGAACAGGCATTCTGGCATTTTCCCAAATGTTAACTTATAGTTGAGATTCTATAATTAATCATCTGTTTCCATTATCTTCTTTTTTTAAAAAAACAAAACAATTTGATCTACTTTGGTGCGTGGTTGAAAATTCAGATAAAATGTCTTCAAGGGGGCTTTCAAAAAGTTCTTGGACAAATGGAACTAAAAGAGAATGGAAATTTTCCATGAACTTTTTCCCTTAGGGACTGGAGTAATGATGGGATCTGTTTGAAGTCCCACAAGAAGTGAGAATGCGGGCAAGAAAGAAGAGTGAAGCTGTCTCCTGAGCGCAGGCTCTTTCCAGCAGACACACCATCTTCATAAGCAACTGATTTTTTTCTGCATGGGAGCTGACCTTTAGTGCTTGGGCAGAGACTGAGGAAGGAGTGGGTGTGGGGGTATCAACTGGAGGCTGGAGGCAACCTGCCACGGGTGAAGTCAATATGTAAGAAAGAGGATGATGCGAGTTGGCAGAGCAAACACAACTTCATCTGAACAGATGTGGCTTGAGAGAAAGGTGCTTCTAAAAACTCTGTGGGTTCTCCTGCATGTGGGATGGGTGACACATCCTCCTAACAAGAGTTGGGGATATGGTAATAGGGGCATAAGAAAGGGGTGGGATTGCTTCCCTTACCCTTGTTAAGGGAGGTGATTTCTGCCTACAGGCAAAGGATGGGAGAC